ATGTTGTAAAACATTCACAAAATGAAATTATGTATATAAATACATTTATTTACTGACACTTCATTAATAATAAGCAAACAATAATCAAGTAAACAGCAACATAAGGACCTGCTTTCAGAAGAGGGTTGGGAAAGAGTTCTTAGCAAAAGGCCACATGATGATGACGCTGATGATAATAATCATGGGTAACTAAATGCCAGGCACTATTCTAAATGCTTTACTTAAATCTATTCATTTAACCCTAACAAGAAAGATTCTGACTACACTGTCAAGGAGGAAATTGAGATTGCAAGAGGCTAAGTAACTAGCCCAAGGGTTGCACAGTAGTAGAGCTGGAATTTGAACCAAGGCAATTTAGCTTCATAGCCTTGACTCTTATCACTACCCACCCGGTCTTCTTAGAAAAATTTGTAAAGACCAGGGTTATTATTATTAATGAACCTGAAGAAAAGAGAAAATACCACAAAGATATGTATTTCTGGAATACTACTGACAAACTCCATAGCAATTATAGTTACACCAGCTGATATAGGATTACTCAATAGGTTGCTCTTGCTTAACTTAAAATACCTTAAGCTTTAAGCATTATCTTTTATCTAACACAGAAAAGTATCACCTATTCAAAGTTCCAAAATTTTTAAGAAGCATATTTTTAAATGAGCTTTAAATAGGGTTTGCATAACACATAATATCAATTCAGCACACTCTACACAAAGTTGCTTTCCCAGACAAAATAAGGAGTTTCTTCAAGCAATAAACTCCTTAAAAGTTTACTTCCACAATATTTGCAAGTCTCTGTGGAAACAGATGTTTAACAAACACAACAACAAACAAGTTTTCAATTCAATTCATTCAGTTTGTTTGCGTCTCTAATCTGGAGTTTAAGTGAGACCAACAAAGAGCATGTGGGCAAAAAACAGCAGTGAAATAAGTTCCTGGCCCTACAATCTCCAAGAAAGGGGAGAGACTAAACAGGTTTTGTGCAATCAATGGAAGCAAAAAGAGTTTCCAACAAGACAGAGAATTAACTCTTCTACATTGGCTATTTATTCAGAATGAAATAATTACAGAAATGACTCCACAGATTAAGAAATAATCCTATATAATAAAAGCGTAATATGCAAATTGACCAAACCACAGAATGACCAGTCGGTGGGAAGTGGGGCCGGTGAGCAGGTGGCGCCAGGCCAGCCAAGGCATGTGCCAGCAGGGAGAGGGAGGGAATGGTGAAGTGGGGGAGGGGGGGAGGCTGTGGGGAGCCGATATAGGGTTAAGCCTCGGACTGACCTGTTAGCAAAATCACAAACAAGTCTTCTTCCGAGTCTTAAACAACCCAATCTGAGAGGTGGCCGCTGATTTAAAAAATAAAAATGGGGGAATTTGCCGGAAGCCGGTCCACCCTTGCTGCTTGACAAAGTCACTGCAGGGAAGAAACATCTGCACAGCTTATGTTTCAAGGGACCAGGTGTATATGGCATATGTTTGCTCCCCTTCTTAGCACTATGTTTTAAACAGGACCACCTCCCCGAGAAAGGTTATTTCCCCAGGTCAGGGATTAACAGGACTAAGGAAGAGAATAAATCAGTAAATCCCCCTAGTGTTACAGAAATACCATGTACTACTTATGAAGAACTTGGACTAAGACTGTTGGCAATAAATTTGGGACTTGTTGGGCCCACATCCCCAGGGGTCTGCCCACCAGGGAAAGCACCAAAGCCTATACCCCTGGAGACCCACCGACACAGGGCAGTCCCAGGGAAGGCAAGCAGCGAGGCTGGGAGGACATAACCTTTACTGGGTA